TATATATATATATATATATATATATATATATAGACATGCTTGCTGCACTTTTAATAGAAACACATGACAACAATAGATAGCCCAACCACACACTAATGAACACTTTGTAATGCTGGTCATCATCTGTCTTAAGGAGCAGAGCAAGTGTGAAGAGGAGGAAGAGAACCAGAGACCTCCACCTGTGCCAGCATCCCACAATCCCCCACCTGTGCCAGCATCCCACAAACCCCCACCCCCGGCCGCAACCCCCAAACCCCCACCTGTGCCAGCATCCCCCAATCCCCCACCTGTGCCAGCATCCCACAAACCCCCAGAGACATTCAGAAAACTGCCTGAAATTCCCAGAGATGAACCAGAGGAAGAAGCTCAGGCAAGACTCTTTTTGTTATATTTTCACTGCTCTTTTGAAGACACCCAGAGCAGTGAGCAGCCTTATTTGCTGTGGTGTCCGGGGAGCAATTGGGGCTTAGGGTTACAAGTGTGACTCCCTAACCATTAGGCCATAACTGCCCCTATTGTGAACATACCCTAATGTGTTTACAATGCAAAACTCCTCCATAGACCATATATGGAACACATTGTGACATCACAACCATGAGCACTTTAAAGGGATAATTCACCCAAAAATGAAAATGAAGTCATCATTTACTCATTCTTGTGTTATAATTTTATGTAAGTATCTGCTATACCAGGGGTCGCCAACTGGCGGAATCCAGTCCGAATCCAGACCGCGAGATGCCTCCATGCCGACGTTGCGGATTTCAGGAGGTGAATTTTGGGACAGAAAAACAAGAATTGCAATATGGCTTAATGTAATGATTAAACTTCAAAGTCAGCTGCTGTGCTGCTTTGTGTACAGCTGTCACCAGGGAAAATGCTATATTTATACCATTCCGAAAGCACCACCTGCTGGCAGAGAATGAATTTGCATTTTCAATAAAGTCCGTCTGCTGTTTTTGTTCAGACCATTGTGAAAATCAACCCATGTTGTAAATGTGAACTGGTGGATCGACACGATGCATTTTAAACATTTCACCAATTAAGAAAAAGAAAAACATATATATACGTTATTTAATTAATATAATAATTGATTGATAATACTAATATAATAATTGACACTTTTGACTCCATTTAAAACAAAAAAATCATTTTATAAAATTTTGTTTTGTGAAAACCTTTAAGGCTATCTGAACTGTAAATCATGCTTTTTACAGTCATTTTAATTTTATTTGTGCAGGTCTTATTAAAAAAGGTCTTTATGGCCTAGTTTCACAGACAGGGCTTAGACTAAGCCAGGTCATAGTTCAATTAGAATGTTTAAGTGATTTTTATAAACATGCCTTAGGAAAAAAAAACAAATACTCGTGTGCATCTTGAGACAAAACAAAGTCACTGACATATTTTAAGATATTTCAGTGCAATATGCGTTCAGTTAAAACATCTAAGTCATGCATTTTAGTCTGGGACTAGGCTTAAACCTTGTTTGTGAAACCTGGGGAAAAGTCTTAAATTAAGGCTTAAATAACCTGCAGATACCCTAGTCTGGCAAAACCCCTAAATTCATGTTTTTAGGTAGGCCTATATAATTGTCCGGACCTCGGCTGGTGAGGAGGGTTCATTACTGGACCTCAAGCAATTTTAGTTGAAGATCCCTGTGCTATACTGTTTTAAAGATATCATTGATTTACATCACAAGCATAAGAATTTCATCTTACGTTCTTGCTACATAAATATCAGCATCTGATACAAGAACGAGTCCATATATAATTTCCATACAACTTCACTGAAAATCACATTGTTTGGAGAATCTCCACTTGATTCCTACGGGACGGGCGGATGACTAAACTGCTGTGAAAACTAAAATCAGTCTATATTTGGAGGAAGACAAACGCAGTTGTGTAGAACAAGACTGAAGTTATATGAGGAAAAAATAAATAAAAATGGCTTTGTTGTGCATTTCATGCTCGTGTTAGTGCTACAGCAAGAAAATAATCAATCAAAACTCTTTCACGGAGCCGTTAGCAGTGAAATACAGTTTACAGCAACATACATTGCCCCGTAAGCACTTCATGCGACACAACAGACGTGGAAGGTGTTTGAAAAGGTCGCTGGGATAATGTGATGCCGTTCAGTGCAATGGTTTTCGCAATTAAGAGGCAATACATATCTATGTGTAGACTTTTTTAGCAAGTAAAAGGTCTTTTAGTATAATTATACAAATGTCCACCTTAAACTCATGCTTCAACTCATGTCTTTCTACTGTCAAATCTTGAATAATTTTTATTAAGTATGCATAAAAATAACTGATATTTTAGTAACATTTGAAGATGAACGCTTTTTTTAAAGAATCCTCCATATTCTCACTATACCAGACTATATGAGCCACAAAAACCTCATGTACCAAATATGATTTTAAAATTGTATATTTATACTTTTTTATATTTTGTCTAAATATTGTTCCTGATATGACTATGTGGCCTAAACAGCATTTTACTATTTTAGCCACTGTTGTGCATGCAGTTTTAACTTCATATTATTTCAAAGACTACATGGAATATTTAAACATGATGAAAATAAATGGCTAACCAGTCAGAAAAGCTAAAAATGTTAACATTTATTCTTGAAAATGTCATGGCTGTTAACTACCCAAATGCTTAAAAAAAATAAAAATAAAAATAAATAAAATAAATAAAATAAATAAAATAAATAAAATAAAATAAAATAAAATAAAATAAAATAAATATGCCCCAGTGGTTGAAGCTGACAGTACATGCTAATTGTCAGTCACAAATTATTTATTTATATACTGACCTTCGAAACACCTTGATATCATGAAATAAACAAAACCATTTTATAAAAAAAAAATATGAAAATTGAGAAATTGTGCTGATAACCAGGTTTTTGTTATTACACACAGCAGGAAAAACATGATTTGAAATGATTTTTCCACACCTAACCCTTCAGGGTTTTCGTGTGTGTGTGTGTGTGTGTGTGTGTGTGTTTGCTGCTGGTCTAATTAAAGCAGCATTTGATGTATCTGAAACCCTGAGGCAGCGGATAAGATTCATCCAGCCTCCATCATCCCAAAACATCCATGATTATGTTTCAAGACAAAACATCTCCTGTGTGTGTGTTTGTGTGTGTAGGACTCTTCCCTTAGTTTAGTAAAACCAGTACTTGAGTAAATGTTTTCAGACTGGGTCAGCTGAGTGTGTGTGTGTGTGTGTGTTTTCAGCAGTATATACTCAAAGAAAGCTTGTTTACCGAGAGAGAATCAGAGGAGGTTCTAAGATTAAACTTTAGGAGTGATTTGCATTTGTGCTGACACACCGACAGAACTTCAGTCTGAGAGATTCAGGAGATGCTACAGATTAATGTATACAGTACATAAGATAATGAATGTGTGTGTGACGAGATCAGTTTTCACCTGGATGAGCAATGCTCCTTTGCTGTGAAACCGTTGATCGTTTATTTATGGCTCATTAGTTTCTGTTCAGAGAAGCTGGATAAAACATATATATGACTATATGACATGTCTCTATAATCCACACATTAAACGCAGTGGATTTTGCATGTGTGCGAACAGTGAACTTTCCTGGGATGATTCAGAAGATGAGTCCTGGATTTTGAATAAGCTTTGAGTCTTAAATTCCATAATTTCTCAATTAAGAAATTATTTTCTTAGTGTTTTTCAGAAGTGTTGATTTTTGGCACATTGCATAGAAGCCAGGAGGGTCCATTTGACCTCAACACAAACGATTTGTAAAGCCTTTCCAAAATGCATCTGTTTTGAAACTTTGCATGCACATTCATGAACCTAAATGAGAAATATTTACCAAATTTCATTAAGAAATAAACAGTTTAACCGGTATTTTAAGCAGTTTGAAAATCGAGTGTGGGTTAAACTGACCGGCAACACAACAAGAGGTTTTTAATGCATTAGTTAAAATGAACGTAAGTGTTATTGATTAAAAGGTAGTAATTAAGTGCTCATCTTGAAATATTCATTACAATATCAAAGTTATCACACTTCATAAAAATCAGTAGATTTCACAGCAAAAAGAGTTGAAGACACATACACACACACACACACAAACATTTTCAATACATCTGCACTTGAGGGAGTTTAACTGTGTATCAATAATAATCTAATACAGGATTAAAATTTAAATTCATTGAGATGCACCTATTGAATGTTTAAGCCAAAGTGCTGTTTAAGCACATGGATTGCGGGTGATTTGTGAAGATGCAAGTTTGTGTGCTGAAACACCATGTGTCAAAGTGGCTCAAGTTTTTAGCGCATTGCCCCTCTGTTCCCTCTCTCTCTCTCTCTCTGGCAGACAAGTGTCATGTGCATGTGTTGGCTTAGTTAAATGCGTAAAAGGGTTCGATTAAACACTTTCAAAAACTGGCACTGTCACCCTTCATTCCCAGCATAATTAATTTCTCTCTATTCTTCCACTCTGCTATCTCTCCAAATGTTCTCCTTTCATTCCATCCCTCCGCTGACAGACGGAGCGAAACCAGTGCACACAAAACCTGCGAGGGAGAGACAGGCTGCATAGGAGTCGACGACACGGCTTCACTCCAGCTGATTAATTACACTCCGTGATTGTCCAATTAATCCAAACACCCAATTCAAACACTCTCTGTTTACACTGAGGAAAATGTAAATGTGCCGGAGACGGAGAACACATCGGGAATACTGAAGGAGAAAACAATGGAACATCTTCCCCTGAGAGAGCCAGGGTGACGAGCATCAGCCAATACAGAAAAAATATGCACAGTGATGGAGGTTATTTGACCAAGAGCTGAGAACATTCCATGGCCTGTAATTACATACTGTACATACAGCCTTCAGAAACCCTGCAGTAACAGATAGAATGTGTAGCTGAAATATTTTATTCATTTTATTTTATTTTGGTGTCCATTGCATGCAATTACTTGTACAGTATACACCTATTCATTCTCAACTAGCTATAAGTGTGTTTAACAACTGCAGGGGTTGTAGGAAATATTCAGCACATTTGAACACTGAACTGATATGAGCTCATGCTTTGTTAAATGAGCTCACAGACAAGCGCTTTTGTTTTTGATGGGCCAGTGTATTTGGTGTTAAACTGTTGTTTTTGGATTCACGCTGAAACTCAGACGTGCCTAAACCGATTAAATTCAGACAGCTACAGAATGTAAAATAGAGAGCGACTGACTGGTGAAAGAGGGTCTTTACAGGGTATTTGATGTGTCTGATGGTTTTACCTGAGCAATGATTCCCCTCCGGCTTCTGCGGGCATGGTGGAAACATTTGATAAAAAGAGCTAAAAACTGCTGTTTGATCAGTGACCAACCCATGCTGACGTACGACTCTTTGCCATTCGCACACATGGGCCGCTGGGTGTCTGTAACATAAACAACAGTTTCACATGGAGCCTAATTACTACTGTCTGAAATATGACAGCTAACTCAACTATTACAGCTGACAAACTGTTACAGCCACCTTAACTATTATAGCTGCCTCAAGTACTGCATCTGCCTCATTGTTACAGCTGCATTTTTGTCACAACTGCTTCACTGTTACAGCATCTAAGTGTTACAGCCACCTCAACTATTACAGCTGCCTCACTGTTACAGCTATCTCACTGTTACAGCTGCCTCAGAGTTACAGCTACCTCAATGTTACAGCTGCTTTGCTTTTACAGACACCTCACTGTAACAGTCTCCTCGCTGTTATAGCTGCCTCACTGTTACAGCCTCCTCACTGTTATAGCCACCTAAGTGTTACAGTTACCTCACTGTTACAGCTGCTTTGCTTTTACAGACACCTCACTGTAACAGTCTCCTCACTGTTACAGCCACCTCACTGTCACAGCCTCATCACTGTTTTAGCCGCCTCACTGTTACAGCTACCTCACTGTTACAGCCTCCTCACTGTTATAGCCGCCTCACTGTTACAGCTGTCTCAGTGTTACAGCTACCTCACTGTTACAGCCGCCTAACTGTTACAGCTATCTCACTGTTACAGACGCTGCAGTGTTACAGCTACCTCACTGTTACAGCTGCTTTGCTTTTACAGACACCTCACTGTAACAGTCTCCTCACTGTTATAGCCACGTCACTGTTACGTCTCAGTGTTACAGCGACCTCACTGTTACAGCCTCCTCACTGTTACAGCTGTCTCAGTGTTACAGCTACCTCACTGATACAGCCTCCTCACTGTTACAGCCACCTCAGTGTTACAACCACCTCAGTGTTACAGCTACCTCACTTTTACAGCTGCCTCACTGTTACAGCTACCTCACTGTTACAGCTACCTCATTGTTACAGCTGCCTCACTGTTACAGCCTCCTCACTGTTTCAGCTGCCTTGCTTTTACAGACACCTCACTGTTACACATGATTCACTGTTACAGATACCTTAACCAATAGAGTTGACACAACTATTATATCTGCCTCAATAATTGTAGCTACCACATTGTTGCAGTTACCTTACTGTTACAGTATTTCATTGTTATAGCCAACTCACTGTTACAGCTGCCTCAACCATTTCAACTAATTCACTGGTACAACTTCCTTCCTGTTACAGTTGATTCAGCTACCTTAACTATTACAGCTGACTGAACTATTACTATTGCCTCAAATACTTTAGGCACCACACTGTTACAGCAACCTTACTGTTACAGCTGCCTCAACTGCTTCAGTTGACTCAACTATAAAAGATGCATCAATTATTTTTGTTACCACAGTTTTACAGTACCTAATTGTTAATGCTGCCTTAACTATTTCAGCTGACTCAGCTATTACAGCCACCTCAATGTTACTTCTAGGGTTTCTAAAATACTTTAGGTATGTCTCATGGTATGATTTGATCCATGATAAGAAGTAGTATCGAAGTACCACCAACAGTGTTTGGATATGTCTGCAATAACAAATGTGAGCTCTCCAAATAAATCCAAGGTTCCACTAAAATCAACTGAACCATCATGGCAGTTGCTCATGTGCTTGACTTATAATGTCCATCAGGCTGCTTATTTATATTCCATATGTGCTAATTTAAATTGCATTGACCTTAAATCATAGATGCCAATGGCACATACATTATTTGTATTACCTGTATTATCGACAGTAGTTGTAGCAAGTTCAGGTTGAATGCTGGATATATACTTCAATGCATTATGGTCTTACTATTGGGAAACTGCTGTAACAACGCCATTAGTCTGAAGCTAGATTACCACAGTACTACAATATCACAGCTAAAATGTGCAACAGTAGTTACAGATGACTCACTTTTACAGCTTACAGTAACCAAAATTATTAAAGCAGCCTAACCGCTACACTTTGCTCATTCTTACTGCTAGTGTACTATTACATGTTTAGAGATGGAAACATGGAAGAATTCTGACTTACCCTCCACACGACTAGTGGATTTAACCTTTGCATCTGTTTAAAAACAGGGGGGGGAGGGGATAATACAGAGCAGTGATGTGATACAAAGCCATTATTTTCTCAGTATCAACTGAATTTTTCAAAAGATCGGTTCGTAAAAGAATGAGCCAGTGTGTTTATTTCCATACACATATAAGTGTGTAGTGGATATATGTGTCAGTTTACATTTGAGCGCACCATTTTTCACAGTGTTTGCATCTTTGCTTTCCAGTGCTGAATACAGTCTGTATTCCTGATATTCTTGAGCTGCTTCTGCGCTTTTGTTCAAGAGTTCCTTTCTTATCTGTGAGACATTAACACACACACACACACACACACACACACACACACACACACACACACACACACACACACACCCACACAGTAGAGGTTATTCTGGAGGAGTGTGATACTTTCAGCTTATTCATCTGGCCTGTTCTTATCTGCGGTAGCATTAACACGCGTATACACACAATCACACACACTCTGAGGTGAGACAGGAGAGTACAATTGCAGCACTTCATCTCAGCTCTTATTTGAGCAGCCCGTTCTTATCTGAGAACCGTAAGGCTCTTAAATAGACCGAATACCCTTCTAAAGGATCCCAGAGTGTTAGAAACGAGAGGTTCAGGTTTATTTTTAACAAGATCCCTGATCATTTCAGTCTGATTTTAACAGCTCGAGTGGCACATTTCAGTGCAGTTGTATTATGAAACTGTCACCATGTAGTACATCTTTACAAAGTGCCTGTTTCTGAAGGATTGGTGTCTAATATAACTGCTGTTTATTTGATATGTGGAGTGGACATTTACATAGATGCAGCAACAGTTAAAGAGAGGAACCCTAAAATATCAAAATTACTGTATAACTATAAATTATAATGAAAACTGAAAATATATAAAAAAAAATCCTATAGTAGTATATAAATTATTTAAAAAATAAATTGAAAAACATAATTGAACTATATAGGAGAATTATGTATATTAGTACTTTTAATAATTAAATAAATACATAAATTATAAGTATAAAAAAAAAGTTTTATTTGTTGTTGTTTTTTTACGAAGATTACTAAAGTACATTTTACTATTTACCATCACTACTACAAAATTGAACTCAAAGTTACTTGCCGTTTCTTTATAATTTTTTGCAAAACTTTTCTCAGTGTATATTTGTTTTTCTAGTGAAATGTTGGTATTTTATTATTGTCTATTTTACTGTCTGTGTTGTGTGTAGAAGACCTGGACTCGTTCGCTGCAACCTAATTCACCTAAGGGTACAAATAAAGTGACCTGAACAAACATCTGATTGATCGTTGAGTGTTGTCAGGGCCAGTTCACCTCTTTAATCGCTGGGGCTCCTTGAGTTGCGACTCGATCCTGATTGGCCTGCGCGATCGTCAGGTAATATCCTCTACTGTACGTCTTCTCGAGGAAGAGCGAGGAGCCGAGATCGCCCAGAATTTCCGCTTCATCCATGTGATGCGTCGACAGGATGATGGTACGACCTGGAAGAGACACAGACATCAAAAAGTCACACGCGTGTGAAAAACCATCAAAGTTCAGCAGCGAGCGTGCATTTCTGAAGCTCATCTGAATGGGATGGGGTGCGTTTGAAGTGCAGGTGCAGCACACTCTATATATAGGCGCTTTCATATCTCACTCTGTATAGAAAAGTTTCCCGTGTTTGGTATTCGCCGGAGCTCCCGCTGAAGCCAGACACCTGCGGGGCTCAGTGCCGGCATTATTTCTGCTCTGCCTGTGTGACGAGGCTGTTGGAGTTCAAGGCGTCTGTCCTTTGACTTGCCGAGAGCAGAAATATCATGAAATATCATGCATCTGCACTTCCCAAAGGCAGACGTCAAACCTGGCACTGTTTGGTATTCGCCGGAGCTCCCGCTGAAGCCAGACACCTGCGGGGCTCAGTGCCGGCATTATTTCTGCTCTGCCTGTGTGACGAGGCTGTTGGAGTTCAAGGCGTCTGTCCTTTGACTTGCCAAGAGCAGAAATATCATGAAATATCATGCATCTGCACTTCCCAAAGGCAGACGTCAAACCTGGCAGAGAAACTCGCGTTTATATTGAGAGACGCTGATGTTGGACGCTGTAAAGCAGCGATCTGGACACAATGACTATACAAACTCTAAGCTTTGAAATGGAAAACTTGTTTGTTGGAGAGTTGCATATAGCCAACAGGGTTTGTGCAAAAAAAAAAACGTTAAGGAATAAATAGAATGGAACACAATACATCAATATGATGTCTAAATGTAAATGTCTCACATTAGCAATGCTTTAAAATCTGAAAACTTTTACAAAAAGAGCTTCAATATCTCCGCTCTTCTAAAATATGGAATTAGCATAACATTTACCTTCTGATCTAACTGCAAAAAAATATTTTCGTCTTGTTTTCCAATGCGAATGACTAAGATTATTAAATCTACACATTTATCTGTGAAGGCAGATGGCATAGGAAGTCTCGTTTCTCTGAGTCTCTGAGAAATTGCCCAAAATGAAGTGATTTGGATTAAAACAAGAACAGGAAAATCTACTTATTTCAATAGGAAGACAAGTTTTCATCCCCCACTGACATAAATGTATTCTCGTTTCAAACATTAACTCACTACATTCTGGCCAATTTCTCAGAAAACAAGACTTCATATGATCAGTTTGCATCTTAAGTAAATGTATCTTGATTTAAGGATGTTTAGATATTTGTACTGGAAAACAAGACAAAAAAATACTGAGGAAGAAATTAATTTTGTTGCAGTGCATGCAACATTTATGACTTTATGACATCCCGCACCTTTAAGTGCAAATTCAGCAAATGAAGGCCGGCAGAAATCCTGTATATATGTGAAGTTATTGGAATTATGAAGTCATTTAAAAAAGAATGAATGAATGAATGAATGAATGAATGAATGAATGGAATGAATTTACAGGCATCACAGAGTTCAGTCAGATGGATGTGTGTCATCAAACTCATTCAGTGTGACATTCAGCTCCAGACAATAAACAGCACTGGAGAGCCACAGAGAGATGAAGAGATAGAAAGAGAGAAGAATCATATATAGAGAGATGACTGCTTTGATTTGTGTTGATTTGTATTATGGAACATTCATCCATCAAGCAAGGCCAAAACAGCAAAACCGACCAAAAAAACAGAATGAAAAGCAAGTACGCTTGCATGCATTTTAAATGTCAATTTCTGTGGGACTAAAGCAAAAATGTAAGTTTTAGAAATATTGCATAAATGCTAAAATTGTACCGTTTTTGTGAAGTCAGAACAGACCTTGATAATGCAACAGTGGCTTCATTTAGCGTATATTGCTCACCTAGCGATAGCGACATTCCGGAGCCAGTTCCCTGTCAAAGTTTATAGTTCTAGTTTCCATAGTCTAGTCATAGTCTTGCCTTGCCTGTTTTCTCGTGTTCTGATTCTTGCCTGTGTATCCTGGATTACCCCTCTCGTCTCGCCCTGTTCAGATACTGATTACTCCTTGCCTGGACCAAAACCTGTTTCGGATTAATCCTTTGGATTACCCAGTTTGGACATTGTACATTCCGGAGCCAGTTCCCTGT